CATTGATCTGCTGACAGGAGAGGTGAGCGGTGCCCGGAATTCTGGGACATTCTCCAGTAACAGACAAGGGATGTGTCTGGATGGTGACTGTATCATTGTGTGTGTCAGGTCCCTATAAGGTGTCAGGGTGTCACTGTCTATTTCTCCATGGAGGAGTGGGAGTATTTAGAAGGACACAAGGACCTCTACAAGGACGTCATGATGGACAATCAGCCGCCCCTCACATCACCGGGTAAGAGGAGACTTTATTGGAAAGGAGAGAGCAGTACGGAGGCTCCACCTAGATCCCCCATCATCTGATAAACACATAGAAACAATGGATTCAGTCAGTGCGTGTGTTTCCTACAGATGGATCCAGTCATGGGAACCCACCAGAGAGATGTCCCCGTCCTCTGTATTCCCAGGATTCCACACAGGAAGGTCACACCATCCCTCACTATCATCAGGTAGATGGATCCAGTAATGGGAACCCACCAGAGAGATGTCCCCGTCCTCTGTATTCCTGGGATTCCACACAGGAAGATCACACCATCCCTCACCATCATCAGGTAGGTGGGACTGAGCAACTAGAACCTTAAAAAGATTTCTACGCTATGAGAGGACATTTCTCTGTTATTTCTTTTTCCTTTTTCATAAATGTATTCCATCATCTTTGGGGTTTAGGTTGAAGAACTGAAAGACATCAAAGCTGAGATTAAAGAGGAAGAAGAAGAGATGTCAAAGAGTGGAGCTCAGCAGTCTATGGAGGAGGGTGGTCCTCTTTATTCTCCAGATTCCATACAGGAAGATCACACCATCCCCCTCACCATCACCAGGTAGATGGGAAGAGCATAAAAGTGGCTCCAGACTGTATGAGATTATTCTCTTCTCTTAGCCTATTGGTCGTCAAGTTTCCTTTCTTTTTGGTGGTGTAGCATGAAGTACAGATGTCTGTGAAAGATGAGGTTAAAGAGGAGGAAGAGGTGATGAATATGATGGGTCATCAGGAGTCTACGGAGAAAGTTGGCATGATGGTGACAACTAAAGAACAGGAACCTTCTCTAGATATCAGCACAGGTGAGTAACGAACACTAAATACAGAACGTGTTCAAGGATATAGGATGCTGATTGGGGATATGTAGGCTTTCACATCAGTTAATACGATCTCTACAAGGACGTCATGATGGACAATCAGCCGCCCCTCACATCACCGGGTAAGAGGAGACTTTATTGTAAAGGAGAGAGCAGTACGAAGGATCCACCTAGATCCCCCATCATCTGATAAACACATAGAAACAATGGATTCAGTCAGTGTGTGTGTTTCCTACAGATGGATCCAGTCATGGGAACCCACCAGAGAGATGTCCCCGTCCTCTGTATTCCCGGGATTCCACACAGGAAGATCACACCATCCCTCACCATCATCAGGTACTCTATGCTTTTGAGATGACATTCTTCTATGTATTCTCTTGTTTTAATGTCTACTTTTACATCTGAAATGCAGCTTTTAACCCTCCCCCCACCCACCATTCCTGTTGATAACTCCTTTAAGCACCTTACAATCCCCACCCCCATTCTTCAGATCAGTAACACCTTCCTGACTTGTCCCTCCCCCAGCCTGTGACTGGATAGTGAAAGGAGAAGCAGCAGACTGATGAGCTCATCTCTCTGTCACTCTGCTCTCTCCTGCTATCAGCATGTCCCTTGTTAGAACGACAGCACAGTTGATTGACTCTTTGTTCTGCTGCTCCCTCTCCCAATCTGAGCTTTTATGTACAGATACTGCAAGAGCCTGATACCGGGTCCCATTCAGGTACTTACACTGCTTACATTTATTTTTAACACATTTAGTGATGTAGTAGGGAACGCAAAGCTGCTGTCATTTGTGTCTTTTATATCTCCCTTGAGTTCATTTTAACAGATGTTTTCTACTATTTTGGGGTTTAGGGTGAAGAACGAATTAATATAAAATCTGAGGTTAAAGAGGAAGAAGAGGAGACGTATGTGGGGGGGGATCAGCCGTCCGCAGAGGTTGGGATGGTTATGAAGAGTGAACAGGAAGAAATTTCCCCACCTATCAACACAAGTAAGTACAGGCACTAAGGAAGATACGGGTCACAATCTCATTTTACTTCCGAGTAGATTTGTAGTTTAATGAAAAATGTTAGATAATTCTCAGATCTTCACATCGTCCTGCAGGCAGGTGCTAAATGGTTAAATATGTGCCTAATAAAGGGTTAATGTGTGGTGTTTCAAGGGTTAACACTTGGTGCTGTGATGTACCTTCCCCCACACGTGTCACTTCCTGCTTCTGAAGAGATATATGCAGGAAGAGACCGGACCTTGTAGTCTACAAAAAAAAAATGTAAGCCTGGGTAGAATTCCCCTGGAGGTAGACCAATGGTGCACCAAAGCTCACAGTGTCTTCCCGGCACTTTGAACAGCCTAGGAGTAGGAGAACTATGAAAACAGCCCCCCCTTCCTGGCTCGGGGACAGACAGGAGGGCAAGAAGTCAATGGGTAGGCAGGCGGTGGCACACACATGAAATTGACTACCAGACTCCGTGACGCTCCCAAGTCAGGCCCAGGTGGTCCCTCCAAAGTCCAGAACAGCACTGACAGTCTGACCGACAAACAGTCCCCTGCTTGCATTTGCGCTCATCCGTGAACGTCCCACATTGTCACACGGGAGGCTTGGGCTCCATAACAGATGACATCACATACTGGCGCTCGCGCTCAGTCCTCCCGCCTCCACCAAAACCACCGCCCTCCCGGCTGCCCGAACACACACAGTAGCAGGAAGTGCACTCGGATGGTCTCCGATGTCTCCGTGCACATGTGCAATTCTGAGCCATATTTTTCACTGGCATGCTTTCCCTGTTATGGGCACTGGCTGCCCGTAAAAACCACAGCTGGTTGGTAACATGGCCTGTAGGACCAGGACCTCCATGGTGGGTGTCACCACATAGGAGACCAACAAATGTTCGTTCACTGATCTCTCTTCCCTAATAAGAGCCTGGAAGTGATGTGGACTGAGGATTGGTATAGACGGCACTCGTCTCCCCGAAGAGTAAACTTCACTGAACGAGTAAAATGAGCATAGAAAATGGTTTACGTGTTTCAGCAATAAGCCTTCGTCCTAGCCATAAAGTACAAGTCAGGACATTACATTCATATATACAAATTTAATTGGTATATAATATTTGGTGTATATATACAGTATCTTACAGAAGTGCACTCAGCTTCTTTGGTTGACCATGGCGAGGCCTGTTCTGAGTGGAACCTTTCCTGTTAGACCGCTGGATGGTCTTGGCCACCATGCTGCAGCTCAGTTTCAGGGTCTTGGCAATATTCTTATAGCCTAGGCCATCTTTATGTAGAGCAACAATTCTTTTTTTCAGAGTTCTTTGCCATGAGGTGCCATGTTGAACTTCCTGTGACCATGAGAGAGCGAGAGCGATAACACCAAATGTAACTCACCTGCTCCCCATTCACACCTGAGACCTTGTAACACGAGTCACATGACACCGGAGAGGGGAAATGGCTCATTGATTGGGCCCAATTTGGACCTTGTCACTTAGGGGTGGAGTCACTGTTGTTGCCAGTGGTTTAGACATTAATGGCGGTGTGTTGAGTTATTTTGAGGGGACGGCAAATTTACATGTTATACAAGCTGTACACTGACTACGTCACATTGTAGCAAACTGTCATTTCTTCAGTGTTGTCACATGAAAAGAGAGAATAAAATATTGATACAAATGTGAGGGGGGACTCACTTCTGGGGGATACTGTATATATATATACATTGTATACAGTGCGGGGGAGGGGGGACTCACTTCTGGGAGATGCTGTATATATACAGTGTGTATATATATATATATATATATATATATATATATATATATATATATATATATATATATATATATTGTATACAGTGCGGGGGGGGGGAACTCACTTCTGGGGGATGCTGTATATATATATACATTGTATACAGTGCGGGGGGGGGGGGGGGGGGGGACTCACTTCTGGGGGATGCTGTGTGTATGTATGTATATATATATATATATATATATATATATATATATATACATACATTGTATACAGGGGGGGGAGGGGTGGCTATGACGAAGGCTTATGGCCGAAATGCGTAAACCGTTTTCTGTGCACATTTTACTCGTTCAATAAAGTTTGCTATTCAGGAAGACGAGTGCCGGCTTCACCAATCCTCATCCAGTTGTCCCTGTGCTGGGAAGACACACAGAGCCAGAGCACCGACATTCCACCTCCGCGGGGAGGATCTCTGGGTGGAGCATCTACTTGCTCAAAGCCATGTGAGTGACATCACTTCCTGGTCCGACTGTCACTTTCCAGGGGCGCTGTGGCTGGGGACAAAAATGAATGGAGTGCAATCTGCACTTCATTACCTTCAATCAGAGGCAGGAGAGACATGGACACTTTTCTGATCGATTTTGGAGGGAGAACAGGAGCTCAGCTGTGAGATCGACATTTCCACTTATTCCACTGACGGGGGAGGAGCTAAATCTCCAGTTATTTGTGAATTCTGACATTTCTTCCATTTCTCTCCATCAGATGGCGCTGATGTCAGGAATTCCTCAGAGAGATGTCTTCTATTATCTGCTGATTGGAAGTCAGAAGATAATGCCATTACACAGGATTCTCCAGGAGTGAATCCAAATACACCCAATATCCATCACAGACCTTCCTGCCTAGAGACATCAATGGATCCCTCTGATCAGGGGGAATCTTCTGACCAATCACATACTAGGAGTGCAAATGTCCATTTAGGATCCCACACTGCAGAGAGATCAACGGATCCATCTAATCCCGAGGAATCTTCCTCACCCCATGAAGGAGCTCACCGATGGGGGACAATCTATTCTCATGTTCAGAGTGCGGGAAATGTTTCAGTAAGAAAGGAAGCCTTGTAAAACATCAGAGAAATTCACACCGGTGAGCTTCCATATTCATGTCCAGAGTGCGGGAAATGTTTCATTCAGAAAGGAGACCTTGTTAAACATCAGAGAATTCACACGGGTGAGCGTCCTTATTCATGTTCAGAGTGCGGGAAATGTTTCGCTCAGAAAGGAAGCCTTGTTAAACATCAGAAAATTCACACAGGTGAGCGTCCCTATCCATGTTCAGAGTGCGGGAAATGTTTCATTCAAAAAGGAGACCTTGTTAAACATCAGAAAATTCACACGGGTGAGCGTCCTTATTCATGTTCAGAGTGCGGGAAATCTTTCGCTCATAAAAGAGCCCTTGTTAAACATCAGAAAATTCACACGGGGAGAACGTCCTTATTCGTGTTCAGAGTGCGGGAAATCTTTCGCTAATAAAGGAATCCTTGTTGTACATCAGAGAATTCACACGGGGTGAGCGTCCTTATTCGTGTTCAGAGTGTGGGAAATCTTTCCGTAAAAAAACATCATCTTGTTACACACCAGAAAAGTCACACGGGCGAGCGTCCTTATTCGTGTTCAGAGTGCGGGAAATCTTTCACTCAGAAAGGAATCCTTGTTACACATCAGAGAATTCACACAGGTGAGCGTCCTTATTCATGTTCAGAGTGCGGGAAATGTTTCACTTCGAAAGGAGAACTTGTTCATCAGAGAATTTCACACAGTTGAGCGTCCTTATTCATGTTCAGAGTGTGGGAAATGTTTCATTCATAGAAGAGCCCTTATTAAACATCAGAGAATTCACATGGGTGAGCATCCTTATTCATGTTCAGAGTGCAGGAAATGTTTCACTCAGAAAGGAAAACTTGTTGTTCATCAGAGAATTCACACAGGTGATCGTCCTTATTCATGTACACAGTGCGGGAAATCTTTCATTGATAAAAAAAACCTTGTTAAACACCAGAGAATTCACACCGGTCAGTTTCCTTATTCATGTTCAGAGTGCGGTAAATGTTTCACTCAGAAAGGAGAACTTGCTGTTCATCAGAGAATTCACACGGGTGAGCGTCCTTATTCATGTAAACAGTGTGGGAAATCTTACAACTATAAAGGAGACCTTGTTAAACACCAGAGAATTCACACAGGTGACCGTCCTTATTCATGTACACAGTGCAGGAAATCTTTAACTCGTAAAGGAGACCTTGTTAAACACCAGAGAATTCACACAGGTGAGCGTCTTTATTCATGTACACAGTGCGGGAAATCTTTCATTCATAAAAAAAACCTTGTTAAACACCAGAGAATTCACACGTGTGAGCTTCCTTATTCATGTTCAGAGTGCAGGAAATGTTTCACTCAGAAAGGAGAACTTGTTGTTCATCAGAGAATTCACACAGGTGAGCGTCCTTATTTATGTACACAGTGTACGTGGGAAATCTTTCAATAGAAAAGAAAACCTAGTGCAACACCAATGTATAGGAAATATTTCTATAGGAAATATTAGTCTTTTTAACAATAGAAAAGTGTAATGTGGATGGTGGGAGGAGGAGAGCTGTCGGAGAATGTAGTGTGGATGGTGGGGGGAGGAGAGCTGTCAGAGAATGTAGTGTGGATGGTGGGGGGAGGAGAGCTGTCGGAGAATGTAGTGTGGATGGTGGGGGGAGGAGAGCTGTCGGAGAATGTAGTGTGGATGGTGGGAGGAGGAGGAGAGCTGTCGGAGAATGTAGTGTGGATGGTGAGGGGAGAATGTAGTGTGGATGGTGAGGAGAGCTGTCAGAGAATGTAGTGTGGATGGTGGGAGGAGGAGAGCTGTCGGAGAATGTAGTGTGGATGGTGAAGGAGATCTGTCGGAGAATGTAGTGTGGATGGTGGGAGGAGGAGAGCTGTCGGAGAATGTAGTGTGGATGGTGGGAGGAGGAGAGCTGTCGGAGAATGTAGTGTGGATGGTGGGAGGAGGAGAGCTGTCGGAGAATGTAGTGTGGATGGTGAAGGAGATCTGTCGGAGAATGTAGTGTGGATGGTGGGGGAGGAGAGCTGTCGGAGAATGTAGAGTGGATGGGGGGGGAGGAGAGCTGTCGGAGAATGTAGTGTGGATGGCGGGGGGGGAGGAGAGCTGTCGGAGAACGTAGTGTGGATGGTGGGGGGAGGAGAGCTGTCGGAGAACGTAGTGTGGATGGTGGGGGGAGGAGAGCTGTCGGAGAACGTAGTGTGGATGGTGGGGGGAGGAGAGCTGTCGGAGAACGTAGTGTGGATGGTGGGGGGAGGAGAGCTGTCGGAGAACGTAGTGTGGATGGTGGGGGGAGGAGAGCTGTCGGAGAACGTAGTGTGGGATGGTGGGGGGAGGAGAGCTGTCGGAGAACGTAGTGTGGATGGTGGGGGGAGGAGAGCTGTCGGAGAACGTAGTGTGGATGGTGGGGGAGGAGAGCTGTCGGAGAACGTAGTGTGGATGGTGGGGGGAGGAGAGCTGTCGGAGAACGTAGTGTGGATGGTGGGGGAGGAGAGCTGTGATCAACTGGTCAGGGCTGGGGTCTCAGCTCTGGGCTCTGCTCTATACACTGACCGGAAACCTCGGTGAGAAGAGGAAGTTTCGATCCCATATGATATAAATAGGAAGAATGGTTACTTTGTTTCATGGAGAATCTTTGAAGAGTATAATGCTGTCAGATGGTAAACATTGAGTAATCTCAACGATAATTAATAAATGAGTTCTGTGTGTATACTGGTAATCATTATCCAGCATAGCCATGAATCCATAGTCCTCACTCACACAGGCGTAGTTAAGCGTTACTACCTTTCTTTGTGCCTCAGTTTTCAATCTGTTTTTCATTCTTTTGTGTTTCCATAATTATACAGTAAACAATAAAATGCTATCAAATTGTTGTTTTTCAATTTAATTTTGCTTCATTCCTTCCATCAAATCCTGGACCGTCACCTCTCGCCCCTTCTCCAACACACTCCCTTACAGTATGGGATTGATGCTGCCTCATCTCATCACATTTGCTGCTCCTGAATCTAGTTCACTGTCTAATGTCCTCCTCAGGATTTAGTAACGTCCTCCTTGGGATTTGGTAACGTCCTCCTCGGGATTTGGACCCCCACCAGACTCCAATGGTGGAACCGTTAGGGTTTCACTGATTTTTATTTCCTCTTACAAACCCTTTGATTACTTAAAGGAGAAGAGTGGGGCGCCCTCACAGGAAATCTTTAGCTTTATACAACTTGGACACATAAACCTGCGGCTATCGCATGCAAATATTCCTCTTCTGATTTGGTTTGAAACCGTAGAACCCTCCTAGATAGGCGCTAGGGTAGGTCAATTTAGTTGCTAAAATGGAAAGGAAAGTGCATTTAAGGCTAGGTCCACATCTGTGCGGGTGGTGCCGCTGTGGATCCGTACAAAAATCCATGCAGCCACACCACTCAAACAGAACAATGAAGACCCGCGGGCGGGGGGTGCTATTAATTCTAAATCCGCACTGGAAATCGCAACCACACTGGGAACCAAGGTTTCCAAAGAAGTGCAGGGACTTCTTCCCTGCGTGTCCCGGGGCACGGGAGTCCGCTCAAATGAATGGGCTCTCGTGCCCGCGCAAAAAGTGCCCCGCGCGGCCCTCATAGATGTGAACCGGGGGTAAGTGTAGTATGGACTCAGTTTATTAACTTCTTGGCGCCGGTGCCTCCCGGCCCTTTAAGAGTTTCAGAAGCCGGGACAAGGTTTTAGGGTCGTCACCGCCGTGATTTGCCATCACATGATCGAAAAAGGTCCCGATCGAAAGGGGAGATTGGGACCTTTCTGGGAGTTGCGGACACGTATGCTGGGAGCGTGCAGGGCGCCGCTCTCAGCATATATGTATTTTCTAATTGCACGCAAATATGCGGCCGCTCGGAGTCAAGGCCCAGATGCCAAGAGGCCGCATATTTGCGTACGATTGGCGTAAAGGGGTTAAAGAAATATCAAAGGGCCACTCACAATTAAAATCAATAGAAAGGCTCATCATAAAGACCACGGTCGGCGGTAAGGGACATCACCGCGTAGTCCACAGCTTGGGTCTCCAGGGCAGCCATTGAGAAATACTATGAGAGCTGTGATTGGTCACAGCTTGTCACATGATACAGGGTTGTTGGGAATAGCCCTCTACCATGTGACCTCTGTGATCATTCACAGATTTCACACGTAGTAAGCAATGATGTCAGGAAGTGACATCTTGCTTACTACCCTGCATGTGATCACTGATTGGCCAATCATTGACCACATGATCTGGATCTCGCACAGAGGTCCCGTAGAGCGATCGGTGTTCCGCTGTGTACTCCAGACACAACGGGCACCAGATCGCAGTGCTGCGTGCTCCCAGGCAGTAAATGCTGGGGCCATTTATAAAAGCTTACCCGCTTCAGCACTGCTCCCGTCCGGCCGTTTATGTACATGGGCTGGACGGGAAGTGATTACGTTACTGGAGTATCCCACAGTTACTGTGCACCCCTCAAGTCCTGCAATAAAGCATAAAGAAAGCATACCCGTAGACTGATTACTGAGCCAAGAGAGTGACTGTGTGCCTGGATGCGGGTGCATCTCCTGGGAAAGAGCCTAGCAACCTAAACAGCGGGCCCTCGAGTGGGTGAACGCTACGAACATAAGCGTAGCTCTGACCCGCATGCTCCAGGCCTCATCTCGCCATTCTACAAATATATACCTCATTATACAGTGAAGGAAATGCGTATTTGCTCTGCTGATTGTGAATGTTTGCCCACTCACAAAGAAATGATCAGTCTAAAAATCAAATGTTCGGTGTATTGTAACACCGAGAGACAGAATAGCAACAACAAATACAGCAGAAATGCATGTCTAACAAATGATGACTGATCTGCATGTTCATGAGGGAAATAAGGATTTGATCCCCTATCATTCAGCAGGATTTCTGGCTACAAAGTGTCTTTCATACAGGTAACAAGCTGAGATTAGAAGCAGTCTCTTAAAGGGAGTCCTGTTAATCTCATTTTGTTACCTGTATAAAAGACACCTGTCCACAGGAGCAATCAAACCATCAGATTCCAAACTCTCCACCATGGCAAAGACCAAAGAGCTGTCCAAGGATGTCAGGGACAAGATTGTAGACCTACACAAGGCTGGACTGGGCTACCAAACAGTGGCCAAGCAGTTTGGTGAGAAGGTGAAAACAGTTGGTGCAATCATTCACAAATGGAAGAAACACAAAACAACTGTCAGTGTCCCTAGGTCTGGTGCACCATGCAAGATCTCACCTCGTGGAGTGTCAATGATCATGAGAACAGTGAGGATTCATCCCAGAACTACACGTGAGGATCTTGTCAATGATCTCCAGGCAGCTAGTCTCCCTAGGTCTGGTGCACCATGCAAG